GCTATGTTGGATCAGGTTGGTTTAGTGGATGCTCTTGATAACTGGTTCGATGGAGTTCTAACCATCGGTACATTCGGTTTCGACTCTTTGAAATTTCAAGAAGAAGAAGACGAAATTGATGATGATGAATGTGAAAGTGTGGATCTCGACTATGTTGTTATCGATGGTAGCATCGTCAAGAACATTAACCAAGAGTTGGATCCTCTTATCTCCAATGAAAATAATTTTCATGATCATCATGATGATTTGAAGGTACGTTGTGTATTGATAATTTTATGTCAAGAAAATGTCTAATATTTCAAAAATACGTTTCTCCATTGAAAAAATTTACATGTAAGCAGAAGTTTGAGTTGAAACAATCGAAGCCATATATATATTTTAAAACTTTGTTGTCAATAACCGAGGCCATGTTCTAAAGATTAATCATCATATCTTCGAAGATACATACACCATTATATGCCAAAAAGAAGAAGAAGAGATAGATATATACAATTATTAATTATGTATTCTCGAGATTGGACTCGTAGAGATTTAATCATATAGTATAATTTACACAGGTATTAAACGCTGATCAGTTTAACCTGAACAAAACCACTGAAAGGGCAGTGGTCGCCGTTGCGGTCCAGGCCGAGATAGAGCCGCAGAAGAAGAGGACAACACTTGCGGAGCTCTTCATGGAGGACGAAGACGAAGGTGATAACACATGGCACGACAAGAAACCAAAGAACCCTAAACTTGATCATGATGATCATGAGGTTAAACAAAACAGGTCAAAGCTAAGTACGAAGTTCTTGTTTGCTAAGAAGAAGATGATCATGTCAAAATCCAAAGATAAAGAAAAAGACTCACGTCCGATCAAGAAAGTGCAACAGGTTAATTAAATTTATTTTAATTCAAATAATTATGACACATTGATCATGATATTATATACATGTTACATGTGCCTCTATTAATCTAACGAACCGACGTCACATCACGCTCACTTATTCTAAAGATATAAGTGTACTTTATATGTCAGTAAATATTCATTCGATTTGTACAAGGATAACAATATATCCTAATTAATATAGATGATAAAGAGGATGTTAAAGAAGAAGATCCATCCAGATATCGATGCGACTAAGGCTTTTAAAAATGACGTTGTTCCATACAAGAAATGTGAAGCTCTCGAGTCACGTTATCTTCTTAACATCAACCAAGGTTCGTCTTTTTAAAATTATTTTATATAAGTGTTTGATTTGATTATCTTTCTTTGCTCATCTGATTTTTGGAACAGATTGCGTGGCCTAGAAGTCTTAGAACGACGTCGTACAAGAGCAACTATTGGTGATGTATTGCATACTTTCTATATGTTATATGTGATTGTTTTGTTTGTTATTATTTCAGAATGTGTTGGTAATTTGGTATCGTCAAGATTGTTAAGAGATGTATTTGCTTTCATATTCCAAAACCATTACTAAGATGTTACTACTTGTTCTTACTTCTATTCATATTGTATGTATTTTATTATTATGTCGTATGTTTTTTTATTTAATCGTATTTATATCAATGTATCGCGTGTTTTAAAAGTTCTCTGTCTAAATAATTTTCTTTTTAATTAATGAAAATTTTATTCAAATAAAAAAATCCTATTTACACTTTTCTATGAAAATTTACATTGTGAAAAAAATTTCAAACTATGATCAATAGATTTAGTTTTTTCACAGCAAAGCAACTATTTTTTTCCACTTACATATCTAGTATCTCCCTTTACCCTTCTCTATGAAAATTTGTAAACAAAGACTTCAAACTATGAGCAGCTTGCCACCAGAGGTATATTGGCTCAATCACGATGTATCCGATGCGGTGAACGGAAAACAATCAA